AGGGGAGGGAGGCAGGCTAGGTGCGCTCGCACCACATCTGACATCAGACCCCTCCCACCCATCCGTTCCCATTGCGCTCACGTTTCCTATTCCGCCGGGGGGGGCCATAGCGCACCCCGGACCCTCAAGAGGGGTACTCCAGATTTCGTAATAAAAGGGAGGGGGTCACAACCCTCCCAGACCAGAAGTTTTAGAACCCCCCCCAGTACCATCCAGGAAGAGGGCAGGCACTTTACCCAGACCCCCCCGAACCCTTCAAGACAGCTCAAATCAGACCCCCCCGCCAAATGTGACCCCCCTCCTTTATTATGGAATCAGGAGTACCATCGGGTTATGCACAACAAGAGCAGGGGAGCTGTGCACATCGCAGGGTGAGGTGGCGGATGAGCAGGAGGACGAGCAGGACGAGGAGGAGAAGGACGGGGAAGGAGCAGGGCGAGGAGCAGCAGCAGGAGCAGGAGTTGGGAGGAGAGAGAGGAGCAGCAGGCCCAGGGGAAGGCGGAGGGAGGGAAAGGAGTGGGGCGGCACCGACGCGGAAGGGCTCGGATCCAAAATTGAGGTCAAAGCTAAAACGAGACCGCCACTCCGAACGACGGGAGCAAAAAACGTTGCTCCTAAAACGAGGCCAACGCTGCAGCGGGAGCACCATTTGATAAATCCGTTCCTGATACGTTTCAGCAAAATCAAACAAACGAACTAACGAACCAGCACTAAAAACGCACCTGATACAAATCCATACGCTGAACAGAAAAAGAGATAATTATGCGGGAGAAAAACTGCCCCGAATGGAGAGGACCCGGAAAGCGAGGAGAGTAGTCCAAACACTGAGTAATCGTGGAGGGAGGGGGGGGGATGGGGAGGGTCGGAGGAGGGAGGAGGAGAAGGAAGGAAGGAAGGAAGGAAGGAAGGAAGGAAGGAAGGAAGGAAGGAAGGAAGGAAGGAAGGAAGGAAGTGAAGGAAGGAAGGAAGGAAGAAAAGGAAGGAAGGAAGGAAGGGAAGGAAGGAAGAAGGAACGGAAGGAAGGAAGGGAGGAAGGAAGGGAGGAGGAGGAGGAGGAGGAGGAGATGGTGGTGGTGGCGCTAGGTTGCCGCCATCAGCCTCTCCTTTCGGCTGCTCGCAGGCCCCTCCGCTAGACGTGGAGACCGTGCCACCTGCGCAGAGCAGCAGGCCGCCACGGCACGAGGCAGCGCGGCGGACCCCGTCCGCGCAAGCGCCGCGCAGGCGAGGAAGATCCCTCGGGCTACGAAGGGGGAGGGAGGCCATCCTCCTCCTCCTCCTCCTCCTCCTCCTCCCTCCCCATATCTCCCTCCCTCCTCCTCCTCCTCTTCCTCCTCCTCCTCCTCCTCCTCCTCCTCCTCCTCCTCCTCCTCCTCCTTCTCGGGGCGATCCCCGGCTCGCTGGGGGATGCCCTGAGCCTCCGATGTCTCCCCCCAATGTATGCGATGTCGAAAGCGGCGCTGTCTAATTACCTCTCCAGGAGGCGCGCCACCGCCACCGGGGGCGGCGTCATACGGAAGTCCATCAAGCGTCGGACGATGGTGCAGCTCGCTCCTACACTCCCTCGCTTGACGCAAAGTTGAGAAGCATGTGATCTGCCATCTGCTGCCGTTGCTGAGTGTCCAGTGTCGCCTCGGATCGTGGGCGAGATCTCGTACGAGGACGAGAAAGAATGGCGGGAGGGGACCCGCCCTTCCGAGAAGGCGGGGTGCTCCTCAGAGTGCGGGGCCGGGGGAGCCCTCCCGGGACGGCACAGAGGCTCCCAGCGAAGGCATCTCGGAAGCCCCCGAGAGGCCTCCGAGAGGTTGTCTGAGAGCCTCGCTGGGAGCCCTCCTCGGAGGCCCCCGAAAGCCCCCGCCTCCCTCGCAGCCCCCCTGTCCTGCTCAGAGGGGCAGCTTCCCCTCAAGGCCGCGTCCCCTCAAGGCCACCCCCTCTCGTCTACACGCGAGAGCGGCCCTGGGCGAGTGGCCTCTGGTGCGCGGCTTGAGGGGAGCCCGCGGGGAGGCCAATTCCAAGCGAGCAAGTCGCTGCTACTGCACCGCGCTCCGTCATCCGGGAGCCCGAAGGCACCCGCACCGAAGGTCACTCTGGCGTAGGGTCGCTCCTACGTGTAGTCGACCAAGGTCACCCCCTCGCGCCGCCAGATTTGGCCCCCGCCGGCCCACCCTGTCCACGTCCAGGGCCGCCAGCCTCGCCATAGCCGCGTCCACCGACGGCTCGGAGTGCTGGAACCCGACGTGGACCTCGAAGGCGGGCCCCAGCTCGCCCTGGAGCGCGGCCGCCAGGTCCTCGAGGAAGAACGATACCCGTCGGTCGGAAGAAGCGGGTAGAAACGTGAAGTAGGAAGGCGTTGAAGTAGATCGGGTTTCCGCCCGTCCACCGAAGAGGAAGGAAAGGGAAACCACTCGACTCATTAAGTAGGAGAGCGCCCAAAGAAGATTGGGATCTGGGAATCCAAAAATACCTAGTGTCAACGACCGGCGTACAAAGGAGGATTGGCTCAGGCAGGGGACAGCGTCCTGTGGCAACTCACGGGAGCCCCTCATGTCATCTTGCTGGCTCTTGCGAGTCGACGTTAGCCGACACTGATCGACACCAAGCGACGCTGTTCGACGCTAAATCGACGCTAAATCGACGCGAATCGGTGCTGATTCGGCGCTTTCCCATCGACTGCCAGACGCTGGCGCACGATAATGTAATATGAAGACGGCATTTCGAAGACATAGAAGGCTCCCACGAGCTGCTGCCGAAGACAATGACCTGGAAGCCACGAGACGTCGCCGACAGATCGCGATGCACCGCCGATGTGGAAGCCCCCCGGTCCTGCGCGGGCTTGAGCACCCAGGCAACCGATCGGCGAGGACGGGGCGATTCGAGGTCGACGCTGCCCACCCTGGGCCAGCCTGAGCATTCTCTCAGGGTGGAGGGCTCAGGGTGAAAGCCGTATGGGCGCTCGCACCTCGAAAGCCAACCCGTCTTGTGACTCACCTTTTGCGGACTCGAGCCTCGGAAATCCGTCGGAACGGCATTTCGGATTTCACCCCTTGCCCTCCACCCCAAGGAACTGCTCGGCCAGCACCCCCACCCGCCACTGGCCCCCCGCAGAGTCCTGCATGTGGTAGCGCAGCGGCGAGCCCCGGACAGGGTCCCAGATCCGCGCGTAGCTCTCCACGGACTTGGCGGGCTGGGCGCCGAGGACCCCCGTCAGCACCGCGCTCCTCTCCTGGAGGCCGCCCGGACGGGGCCCGAGCGGGTGGTGGTCGGAGGACCGCGCGGCGTCGCCGACACATCGGTTCCATTGTTAGGTCGGGCATGTCCTCCTGGAGGCGGATTTTGGACGAAAAATCAAACATGAGAAAAGTACGCACAAATCACCCAAAATTGTCAGAAGGACGTCCCCTGGCTATTCTTTACTATGTTTGAGCACTCCCGCTGTGGAGGGACGCGCCCGAGTTGACTCCGTCGAGACGGGGCCCCGAGTCGAGCCGCATCGCGGATGCATTTCAAGGGGCCCAGGGACACACAAATTCGCCGGCCCAACGGGCCAGGGCGTGCTAAGATCTCCGGTAACTGGTTAACAGTATTACCAGTATTTCTAGTTCGCGCGCGCGGGGCGGCCCCTGGGGGTCCCCCGGCGAAAAGTACCCCGACCAACGCCCGACCGCCGCCCGACCGCCGCCCGACCGCCGCCCGACCACCGCCCGACCAAGTCTACTCAGAGATGGTTTTCCTTCTGGGTGCGGCCTCTCAGGCCTCCAGAGCGCGCTCAGAGTGCCCCAAGAGGCCCCCAAGACTGCCCAAGAGGCCCCCGAGACGCCCAAAGAGCGCTCGAAGACGCCGAAGATGACCCCAAGACGGCCCAAAAGGCCCCCAAGACAGCCCAAGAGGCCTCCAAGACGCCCCAAGAGCCTTCCAAGAGGCCTCCGAAGAGAGCCCCAAGAGGCCAAAATCGTTGATTTTCATTGGTTTTTTCGATGTTTTTTGTGTTCTGGCTTTTTCGGCTTCCGGACGCTCCAAGACGGCCCAAGAGGCCCCCAAGACCGCTCCAAGACGGCCCACGAGGCTCCCAAGACGGCCCCGGAACGGCCCAGGAGGGCCCCCAAGACGGCCCAAGTGCCGCCCAAGACGGACCAAGAGGCCCCAAGACGGGCCCAAGAGGGGCTCAAGAGGGGAACCGAGAACTGAAAAATCGAGCCCTCCGCCCCAGAAGGCGCCCAGGAGGCCCCAAAAAGGCCCCAAGAGGCCCCCAAGAGGCCCCCAAGACGCCCCAAGAGGCGCCCAAGAGGCCCAAAAGAGGCCCCAAGAGGCCCCAAAACGGCCCCCAAAACTCGGCCAGCCCACAACGGTGCGACAATATGGGCCGGCGGAATGAGCGAAGCGATTAAATAAAGAGGCACAAATCCCGGGATCAAAACTGTTTCCCCATGGTTTCTGGGTGGTCGTCTTCCCCCGCACACTTCCCGCATTTCCTGGGAGTCGACGATTCATTGTGTCCGTGTGTTTTTCTTCCCCTCCCGCGCGGGGGAGGAGGAGGAGGAGGAGGAGGAGGAGGAGGAGGAGGAGGAGGAGGAGGAGGAGGAAAGGAGGAAGAGGGAGGAGGAGGAGGATGAGGTGGAGGAGACCCTCCCGCCCCATTGCTGCTCGGACCCCGCGCGGCGAGCGGCCAAGGATCTCCTCGGGGTCCTGGATGCTCACCACACGCCGGTCCCCGAGGAACCGGCCGAGGTAGTCCGCGACGTCGTCGAGGTCGAGCGAGTTCGGGGTCCCGATGTTCAGGAGCACGACGCCCACGCGGGCAGCCCCGCCCTG